TTAACAATGGAAATTTAGATAAATTTCAAAATCTAAAGGCTCAATAACCAAACTAGCTGTGGGAATAATCTTTCCACAGTTGTATTTCCAAACACATAGTTAATAACCGATCAGAGAGTTTTTTTCATTTTTATTAATAAAAAATTTTTTGTGAAGGTTCAAAGTTATCGATTTTGTTGATTTTTCTATTAACAATGGAAATTTAGATAAATTTCAAAATCTAAAGGCTCAAAAATTAAACAATTGTGAGAATAACCCTTCCGCGATTTTGTTTAAAAACACTCAATTAATGACTGGTCAGAGTTTTTTTCATTTATATTAGTAAAAAAAAAAATTTATAAAGGTTTAAAGTTGTCAATTTTATTGGTTTTTACTATCAAAAATAGGAATTTAAAATGCAAAGGCTCAGTAACCAAGCAAGCTATGTGAATAATCTTTCCGCAATTGTATTTAAAAACTCTCAATTAATAGTCTATCAGTGAGTTTTTTTGACTATATTAGTAGAGAATTTTTTTTATAAAGGTTCAAAGTTGTCAATTTTATTGATTTTTACTATTTTGGAGGTGTTACAAAAATTTCAAAATAACATTTAAAAAATCCGCATATATGAAAATTTATTATTGATGTTTAATAAACATGTCGTCAAAATTGAAAGTCATGTGACGCAATTAGTTTAGTGTGAGACGCATTGACGCAGACGCAATTCGTGACGCAAGACGCAATTCGTGACGCAAGACGCATTCGTGACGCAAGACTCGTGAGTGATATAAACTATCTGAAAGTGATGTTTTCAAATCTTGCAAAAATGATAAAGATTACATTATTTATTTATTTGTGATTTTCTACTTCATAACTTTAAAAGGTTATGGTCTAATTGAAAAACTTTTGTATGTATTAAATTCATTATATAAAATATCCATAATTATAAGCAAATTAATATTTTTATTATATGAAGTTTTGTGCAATTCACAAAAATTTCAAACATGATAAAAAAAAATACTATCATTTTTATATTTAATCAATTTCATTATTTAAAATATCATCCACTAATATATTAACATTATAA